ACACATAGTGACGATGTGAAGATGAGGAATAGCAGAGGATTGTTGAAGACGCCGTACTGGAGGGAACAGGCTGGAAAGTTGTGAGAGAGTAGACTGAGAATGCATGACCTAACCTGGGGTTGTGGAAAGGTTTAAGATATTATTAATCACAATATCTAGCGTACAGAATAGGAGCAGCAGGATAGGAGACAAGGTCTTTAGAAGGGAGGAGATCAAGGAAGTAAAAAATCAGGCTACTGACCTCATAAAGAATTGAAATAAGAACAAACATAAGGAAGATAAAACGAGCTAGCAACTAACATTTACAAGAAGGTGTAATGTTTAATAATTCAGATCTGAGAGAAAATTATTAGGTATTAAATCATGAAAATAAAAGTGCCTTCTTTGTATGTCTTTCTTGAGGCACTAACATTCCATTTGTAACCTTAAAATGAGTAGGAAACTGAGGAGACATGGACAAGAGAGTTGGGAGAGCATTAGAGGAATAAGCGAAAACATGAAACAGTACTAAAGAGAGAGTTATAAAAGAGTCCAGAATGGCTGAGACTCTCAGAAAAGTAAAGATGAGCTGTGCAGCAGAAAGTGATGTCAGCGAGAGACCAGGGGCCAGGATATGAAGGCATTTTCTGACCTGATATAAAATGACAATATCCAAAAGGATTTTGGATATTGTCAGTTACAATCGATAGAATTAAGCACTTTGTATAATTCAGGAATACAACAATTTCTAAATCTCAGTGATATAGTGGTTAAATAAATGAAATTTGGAGCCAGAGATATCTTGATTCTGATCCTGATATCACTCTTTATTAGCAGTAAACAAATTATTTAGTCTGTCAGTCTTTCTCTTTACTCATCTCTTTACTGGCAATACTCTATTTCTAAAGACTGTTTGAAGACCGAGTGAGAGAAGGGATTTTAAGTCCTAAACCCAGGACCTAGCAAATATATGGCCTCTTAGTACACAAACAAAATCATTTTCCTTGGTTCTGTGGTTGTATAATGTCTTTTCTGGTATATTTACAAATATATTATATATCAAAGCATGAAGCTGACATTTGGGAAATAATAATGCCTTTATTATCTTAAAGAATAGTTTATAATAATTACTACTCCTGGATGTAATTTAAGTCTTGTAGTTTGGGAAAAGTCACCTTATTCCAGAGGGCCACTGATTCCCCTGCTACCTACAACTTTTTTTTCAAGTGGAATCTGGAGTCAGTTGTAATTCCAGCTCATATTTACTAAGCACACCAGTTTGTACCTGCTGCTTAAAGATGGTGGCTCTCCAAATGACTGTCAGCTTTTAATTTGGGTGAGTTAAGGTGGAGACTGAATCTCTACTTTAACAGGAAAGGAGTACCTTAACTTTCAAGTGGAATCTGGAGTCAGTTGTAATTCCAGCTCATATTTACTAAGCACACCAGTTTGCACCTGCTGCTTAAAGATGGTGGCTCTCCAAATGACTGTCAGCTTTTAATTTGGGTGAGTTAAGGTGGAGACTGCATCTCTACTTTAACAGGAAAGGAGTACCTTAATAGGACAGGAAAAGAAAGGAGAGGGCTATATTCAAACATCTGCATTTACAGAATTATGAGATCTTCAAGAAGGTAATGTCCGACTCTTTGAATACCCTTAATAAATTTATTTAATAAAGATCACAGATATATACTGAGAAGGAGAAATGGGTCCTCCCTCTCATAACTGATATATAGTTACCTGTTGATTAGCTAAAGTATAGGGAGCACTGATATTCCAAATTAGGATTAAAATAGCATTAAAGCTGCTTGACCTGGACAGGTATGGGACCAAAGACGACTGTGAGCAAAAACACCTGGTTTCTTCCTACTCAGCATTACAGGTCAATCAATCATGTTAACTCTTGTGGGAGTAAGAATCCTTAGGAGTAAGGTAAAATGTGTGTTTCTTTATTGAGCTTATCAACTTGGGAAGAAAAAGCCATAGCTGACCTTTTCTCCATTCACCCAAAAATACTCAATAATGTAAGTCGTATTGCAGTTTAATGGAACACTTAGCCAGACTTTACAAATTACAGTGAAGTGCACAGGGCTCATTATTTGTGATCTCATTATTATCAAATTCAACAGATCTGTTACTAATCAATAAATAGTACACAGAGTATGTTGTTAGAGGAATAAACCAAATTTTCCAGGAGGCTATAATGAACTCTGTTATTAGCCTAATGTTATTTCAAAATCGTATTTTAATTACTTTGATGTAGATGTAGAATGTGTACCTTTAAAATGAGCAAATCATACTGATTAAATTCAAGGTATGAACAGTGAAAAACGCTTAATAATAATAAAAACACATGATAATAATTATTTTAAAGTATTTTCTAAAACAATACAACTTATCAAATTAAAGTGCAAAGTTTAACTTTTTTGATCGTTTTCTTAAAATCATCCAGAGAAAGTTGACTTTAGAAATTAATTCAAAATATTGACAGGTTATAGTTGATTATGCATTTAATATATATGACAAGAAATATTGGGTTTTCAGAGTGAAAACGGCATTAATTTTGCAGTCATAATGAGTTATGTTAGAATTTTTGTGTCTCATCCACTATTTCTGTGATGACACTACATTATCTGTAACACTTTGGGCTTCTATTCTTTATTAGTAAAATTCAAGGAAAAATATTTAGCTTGCATTGATTTTCCTGATAAAATACAAAGATTCTAGGACAATATCTTTTTTATGTTAGGAACAACTGTTACTTTTCTTCTTTATTTTATATAAAAAAGGACATGAACTGAGATCACTATCACTAATAGTGTAAAAATAAAAAGGGGTATCAGGATAATAGACCTGTGTTTTGACTATCATGTTCAGATACAAGTAATAAAAGTTAAAAGGCACAGGGAACACTGGGGAATGTACAGAAGAGTTGAAGTAAAAAATGAGGATTGCTGAAAACTATGTTTAAAATAAGTGGGTATATAAGTATGGAAAGCTTTTGTGACCTTTACTTTCAGATTTTGGGAAGCCCATGATGCAGAAGAGACGAGCCTGTAGAGCTCCAGAGCCACTAGTGCTTCACAGTTCCTGGGGATAGGTTCTGTGACAGTACCATGAAAAACAATATGGAATGGACTCCCTAAGAAATCAATAACCATACCTTACAGTACTCAGACATCAACTAGAGAATTATTTTTCAGGATAGCATTAAAAAGAAAACTAAAATAGATGAAGTTTAAGATCTTTTCAGTTTATAAAATCTAACCTTTCTATCAAAAGCTAAGTTGGCCAACAAATAAAACAAATTGTGAAGTCAAAAGTGTTATAGATATTTTATGGTACCTAGATGGTTAACAAAGTTTTTTTTTTTTTTTCTTTCTTTTTAACAAATTCATGAGATTCATGACTTGATTGACAATTAGTACTTTGTGTCTGGCTGCACAGTTTTTGCCTAGTGTCACTAATTTTTTTTCACTCTAAATTACAACCTTGTAAGCTCTCTGTTTTGTTTCTTTTGCCGTACAAAAGCTTTTTAGTTCCACATAGTGCCATTTTTTTTTCTTTTGTTGCTTGTGTTTCGGAGACCTTATTCATAAAGTGTTTGCCCAGTCCTACATCATGAAATGTTTCCTCTATATTTTCTTCTAGGATTTATACAATTTCAGATCTTATACTTAAATCTACTACATATTTTGAGCTGATTATAGCATAAGGCTAGATAGAGGTATGGCTATAGTTTCATTTTCTACACATGGATATCCAGTTTTCCCAGCACCATTTACTGCAGAGTCTATCCTTTCCTCAATATATGTTCTTGGTGCCTTTGTTGATGATTAGTTGGCTATAAGTACAGGGGTTGATTTCTGGGTTCTCTGTTCTGTTCCATTGGTTCATGTTTCTGTTTTTTTTGCCAGTACCATGCTGATCTGGTTAGTTTATCTTTAGTCAAAGTCTGGTAGTGTAATGCCTCTGGTTTTATTTTCTTTTTCTCACGATTGCTTTGGCCATTTGAGGTCTATTCTTGTTCCATATGAATGTTAGAATTGTTTTTGTTTGTTTCTATTTCATGAAAATGTCATTGGTATTTTTATGGGGATTGCACTGAATCTGTAGATTACTTTGGGTAGTATAGACATTTTCACAAAATTAATTCTTTCAATCCATGAACATGGAATTTTTTTCCATCTTCTGGTGTCCTCTCCAATTTATTTCAACAGTTTTTTTGTAGTTCTCATTATAGACATCTTTCACCTCTTTGGATACATTTATTCCCAGGTAATTTATTATTTTGGTTGATATTGTAAGTGGGTTTTCTTTCTTGATTTCTTTTTCTCCTTTTCCACTGTTGGTGGAAACACAACCGATTTTTGCATATTGATTTTGTATCCTGCAACCTTACTGAATTTGTTTATGAACTTGATGAGGTTTTTTGGTAGAGGTTAGGAGATTTTCCATAAGATCATGTCATCTTCAAAAAGGGACCATTTGACTTTGCCTTTTTCATTACCTTTGCCCGTGTGTCTTTTGGATGACCATTATTTCTTTCTCTTGCCTGATTGGTCTGGCAATTATTCCAATGCTCTGTTGATTAAGAGTGTTGAAAGTAGGGGTCCTTGTTCCCACTGCTTTCAGGTTTTCCCCATTCAAGATGAAGTTGGCAATGGGTCATCATACATGGCTTTTACTGTGTGAGATACTTCCCTTCTATACCTAATTTGTTGAGGGTCATTATCATGAAGAGATGCATGATCAAGTGGGAATCATCCCAGGGATGCAAGTATGGTTGAACATATGCAAATTAATAATTATGATATACGACATCAACAAAAGCAAGGACAAAAACCAAATGATTATCTCAATAGACACAGAAAAACCTTGTAACATTTCTAATGTAATGTTTTGGGATCTTCCAGATTTGTTTTCAATTTGTTTCCAGATTGGGTTGTAAAAACCCTGACAGAAAACATTTGCCCTAAAATGGAGAATTCCATCTACGAGTGGCAGAGGATAGCATCACTATGGGACCAGCCAATGAATCTGAAATATCTCCAAACACCTTCTTGCTGATGGGCATCCCAGGACTGGAACATCTACACATCTGGATTGGGATTCCCTTCTGCTCCATGTACGTGGTGGCTGTGGTGGGGAATGTGATCATCCTGGCTGTGGTGAGGGCAGAACGCAGCCTCCATGAGCCCATGTTCCTCTTTCTGTGCATGCTCTCAGTCACTGACCTGGTCCTCTCCACATCCACAATGCCCCGCATGCTCTGCGTCTTCTGGCTCGGAGCCCACAACATTGCCTTTGAAGCTTGTCTGGCCCAGATGTTCTTCATCCACAGCTTTACTGCCATGGAGTCAGGCTTCTTCCTGGCCATGGCCATTGACCGCTATGTGGCCATCTGTGACCCACTGCATCATGCCACCATTCTCACCCAAACTCGCATTGTCAAAATTGGAGCAGCTGTGGTGCTCCGAGGGGTAGCATTCTTTTCTCCACACCCCATCCTGCTCAAGCAGCTGCCCTACTGCAAGACACGAATCATCGCCCACACCTACTGTGAGTTCATGGCTGTGGTGAAACTTGCTTGTGTAGACACAGCATCCACCAAGCGATACAGCCTCAGTGTGGCCTCTGTCATTGGTTCCTGTGATGGCTTTTTTATTATCATCTCTTATATTCTAATCCTCCGCACGGTCTTCCGTCTTCCATCACGAGAAGCAAGTCTTAAAGCTCTAGGCACATGTGGCTCTCATGTCTGTGTCATCATCGTTTTCTACTCCACAGCTGTCTTCACCTTTCTCACCCACCGCTTTGGCCACAATGTGGCCCCACAAATTCATATTTTCATTGCAAATATGTACCTTCTGGTACCACCCTTCCTTAATCCCATTGTATATGGTATTAGGACCAAGAAAATTCGTGGTCATGTCCTTAGATCTCTAAGGGCAAAAGTTGCCTGATTATGCTGAAATTATTTGCAAAGCTGATATCACAATACAAAGAAAAGAGGGAAAATAATTGATTCCTTTTTCATAAATAACATTATATCAGACACTGCAAGAGAATTTACTAAAGAAAAATGACTACATGCAATAGAAATTCCACAAATCTGATGAAACTAGTACAGTAATATATTTTGCATGCACCAGGTTTTACTTAGAACTTCTTAGAAGTTCTAACTTACTTAGAGCTTCATGAATGGAAAAAAGCAATTCTTTCTGCTTTTTGCTGCTAATTATCTGTGGTATACCTGGTGGTGGGGGGGGGGGTCATAGCTTACTTTCAAATAGAGAATGATTCAAATAGGGAAGAAACCAATGACAATCTTAAAAAAAAATTGTCCATGAAGAATCTGCAACTGCAAAATTAATGATCACTTTCAATATTTTACAGAAGAGGCAATATAACTGGCTTAATACCCTCTAAACACATCAAATAATTTTGCATGTATTCATAAGAACTGATACACTGGATGAGTTGTCAAACAGTAAACTTGGAATGGTTCAAAATTTCAACAATAGACAGGTCCCTAAAAACTATTGCTCATAGGATATTCTCTTCCCACCAAGACTAACTTTGTGCCTGCTATTGGTTTGTTACCTGAACTAGAATAGGACCTCTTTAAAGCTTCATCACATAATCTTTGGAAAATGATAGTAATTTATGTTTGAGACACATACTTAAGAGTTTTCCCAGAGCTAATTTAGGCTTACTGAGCTTGATTCAGATATGCTGGTCTTTGGTATTACATGCTTTTGTTAAAGGAAGTCTACTGCTACAAACAACTCAGTTTAATATTTTTCATGATTATTTGACTGGCAATATTGAAAATAAAATTTAAAAATATAAATAGTTTTACTGGAAAACTTGAACATTTGCTCCTAAAAAAATGTGACTTCTTTCACTTCTTGACTCTCACACAATGGAAATTACTGTAGGCACTCAACAAATACATGCTGAATTTCATTGAATTAATGTTCTCTTTTTAGTAATATGCAATTTTTAAAGTATTATTTCCACCTTTTTTTCTCACTATTTTCTTTCTACTTAATCTAGGAACTTCCTAAAAGTAAATATCTGGACATCCTTTCTGTATTCCTCTTCCTTAGAATATGTTAAATACCATCATTCAAGACCTTATTATTTTTCACTAGAAATATTTCAACTGTTTCTGCTGAAGTTTTCAAGGCATTAGTTTTTCATTTCTATGTCCAGTGCAACCTCTACAATGAGATGACAGTTATCACCCTAAAATTTTAAACATTAAATGAAAAAAGAAAGCAAACAAAAAACCCTGATTTTGTCAGACCCTTGCAAGATTCAGAATGGTAAAGCGAAGCTTTGTGAATTATGTTTTCTCCTGTTTTTCCTGTTGCAGTTACACATCCCATGCTCTCTTTGTCCTGAAGAAGTCTCACACCTGCATTCAAACAGTAGATCCCTTCACATCTTCATGCCTTTGCTTAGAATTCTCCTTTCTACCCCATTCTATTTCTTACCTGGAAAGTACTGGTTATTCTTCAGCATACAGCTCTTATATAAACTTCCCCATCTATTTGAAAGACTGCATTATTTCTTCAAATCATACTAACTAAAACCTCTCACTACCACTATTGTAAAAAATGTTATGATATACTGTAGTTAACTCTTAATATAGTTCTTTAGCCAATTAAATGTTAATATGGTGAGAGGTTAAATCGCTGACTCTAAAGACAGAGTACCTGGGTTCATTATTCATTTCTATCACTATTTGTGTATGCCCAGGCAAGCTGATGAAACTTCCTGGGCCTTGTTCTCACAGCCAATAAAATGGGGAACATAATTTTTTTCCCCTTAAAAGTTTTAAAGATTAAATGAGTAAAAGCATGTAAAACACTTATAATAATGCCACACAGTAAGTCCTTAACAAATAAAAATTAGTTAAGATTATGAACTATCAGAACAAGTATAATTTTGTATATATGTATTATATGTCATACTTTGTGAGATACAGATATATTTGTAATTTAAATTATGTAATTATCACAATAATCACCAGAGCAGTTGTTAGTCTGATTTTACAGGTGAGGAATTTGGACTCATAGAGGTTAAATAATTTTTTCAAGACCACTTATTGACTTAAGGTGCAGTCTGGGTTTAAATCAATGCAAAAATATTTAATCCTATGTTTAGGGACTATCTTTATTTCCTTTTAAACCCTAATACTTCTCAGTATTCTATGAATATATGTGTTCAATTTCTGAAGAAATAAATAAAACCATAAGTTGTTTGGATCCATTGTCATATATTTTAGAATTCCTAATCAGGTGATAATTATAATTAAGGTATCCAAATTAAAACTATAAGAGTATACTTTAATTACCTTTTCTAAGGTAAGTAAGAAAAATGACAGTGACAGTAGGGACAGAACTCTTTGAGGCTAAAGAGAAGAAAATACTCTAGGTAAATGTAGAACTTTGAGACCACTGCCACTATGTTGGATGTTTCTTGAGGATGAATTGCAACTCTGGACCATCAGGCTATATTTTCTTATTTGGGGCTATTATTAATCACAGAGTTTAATTATATTTTCTGATGAGAATAAAGGTTTATAAGTTAGATTTAGCAATATGAACTACAGAGTTAGCATGCACAGGTTACCTACCAATGAATACTGTGAGGAAAATGAAGGAGTTTGGTTAGGCCCACTCACCTCAGGTCTGGTTGGGTGTGGTGCAGTACATTCTTTGTAAACAAGTTGTGTGGGAATAGAGTTAGTGCACAAGTGCACTTGTGTATTTTTAGCTTGTTGCTATTCTTGTGTGTTCTTCAGTGTGTGAAGCAGTGGCTCTGAACTGCTGGTTGGCAGAGTTCACATCTAGATATAAAGCCTATTATTACTTTACCCATGGCTCCAAGGACCTTTTCCTGTTACCTGACTTGTAGACCTGCATGTGAAGGCTTTCTGAATGGGCTTGAAGGGTCTGTGAGACCTATCCATAGCTCTACAATTGGGGTAGTCTGCAGCAGGATTCTGAGCAGGTACAGGAGCCAAAAGCCCCTTGGGAGAAGGAGGAAATGTGGCTACTCTTGAATATGTTGTGCTGCCCTTTGGCCACTTTCCAGTTGACCAGGATCTGGTTGCAGCTCACTATACTGCAAGTCAGCATAGACCAGGCACTATAGCAGAGAACCCCTTGGGAGGGGGAGAAAATGTGGCTATCCTCGAGTATGTGATGCTCAGTGGCCATTTTTCTGCTGACCAGAGCCTGGCTACTGCTCACTATATGCCAAACTGATTGAGATTTGAAATGGAAAGCAGAATTGATGGAAACATGGATAAATGTCCTGGAGGATGATGTGCAGTGACTGGCCATCCCGGCTTCTTATACCAGGGAGAATGACAAACCCAGTGGTGAGTTGGGGGAGATCATGCATCTCCAGGTATGACATGTTGTGCATCAGAAAGTGAAGCACAAGCAGGCTATGGGACTAGGTGGACAACTGGCAGGCAATCTACAGGTGACCCAATTCACTACCTATGTCCCGTATACCCAGGTTGAATTGGTTGACTTGGGGAGAAAGTTCCAGCAGAAACAAGAGGAGCCCCTGGCTGCTTGCCTGCTATGGTTATGGGACCTAGGGGTGGATAGTATGGTATTCTCTGCTGAAGAGATGTAAAAATTGGACTCCATTACCATGCACCCATCCCTGAGGCAGTGGTTACAGAATAGCCGCAGATATAAACAAGGGCCAGGTAATCACTACTAATGGAATGGGTGAATGCAGCTGCCTGAATCATGTGGGTGAATGCTGGAGAACTGCCCCAAATTGTGAGTAAATGGCAAACATATGCTGACTTAGTACAAATAATTCGGGAGCTGGGGATGCAGAAGTCTATGTTTAATGTGAACACTCGTGGCCTGGATGATGAAAATTTTACAGGTAGCATGAGAGACATAGTGTTGCAAAATGCCTTGTCAATGCCATTTGGGTTGCTGATGGCCATACTGGCCCCATACATTTGTCAACCTATGCATGAGGTAACAACCATGATCACCAGCTTGGGTGAAGTAGAGGAGAGAAGACAAGCAAAAGAGGTCCAAAATGTGGCTAAGACCAAAACCCCCAAGAAATACTCGGGATTTTATCCTGAAGGGACCAAGCAAGACTAGCTGTAAGCAGATGTGGCTTGACTTGCTTGCAGCAGGGGTTGATAGCAAGGAAACTTACTGACAGCCAAATGCAGTCCTGTTTACCTTGTGACAACAATTGCGCCCTTAACAGCATTTCACTAAACATCCAGAAACAGGTAGCAAGTTACGCTCAGTGGATTTAAAGGACTTTTTGTTTGCTCCTGAGGATGTGGATGAAATGTTCCATTTCTATTAGGGAACAGGCCAAGGTGCTCATCTTTTGGAGGCAGATGAGGACCAGAGACCTCATGTTGAATTGGCAATATATTGGTCGAGGACAAATATGCAGCATATTTTGGCATTGGTGGATACAGGCACAGAATGTAGCCTGATATATGGCAATCCAGATAAATTTCCAGGAGCCACAGTTTGTATAGATGGCTATGGAGGACATATTACTGAGGTCAAGGCTGTGTCACTGCCATTGAGCATAGGACAATTGCCCCCTTGTGTATATACTGTATATATATCCCCAGTAGCTGAATACATCTTGGGTATGGATGTATTTTATTGCTTGTACCTGCAAACAACAGTTGGAGAGTTTCAGCTGCAAATACGGACAGTAAAACCTGTGTTACATGGATATACTAAACATGACCCACAGGTGTTATCCAGGGCAAGACGTGTAGTTGATTTAAAGCAGTGTCACCTAACGGGAGGACCTGTAGAGATAGGTGCCACTCTATTGGAGTTAGAGAAAGTTGGCATTATTAATCCAGCTCACAGCCCATTTAATGATCTGGTATGGCAAGTGAAAAAGCCTGATGGTACCTCGAAAATGACTG